CTCTGCTTATAGCTAATGTTTAGAGCCCCATTGTATTTTTCTACTTTCTGCCACTCAGAGGGGCAACAAAAGTTGCCCAGTGCATGGGAAACTTTTGGACAAAACAAAATTCCCCAAACTGTGCTTCAAAATATGTTTTACTTCCCCAGAAAATGGTTTGTTTTACTATGTTCTGTTAAAAAACATGACTATAGTTATTTAAGTAAATAGTCTTGAGTCAAAATGTGACCTTCTAGGCTTTTTTCCTTCTTTATTTAAAATATTAAATTGCTACTTTTGGGTGGAAGGAATACTTAGTAATTCAAATATAAAAATAAATCAAGAGATTAATCTAAAACCTATTTTCTAGCAGTCAGATCAGAAAAAGACTAGGCCACATAATTGCCTAACTTCTTCTGCACTGTATTTTCAAGACTGGTGCAAATAAAGTAACTTTTCAGGGAAGTACCTTTTGGATCACTGTAAAAAAAAAAAAAAGATAGTTATTAGGGTAGTCTTATGCATCTTTTTGAAGAGGAAATAAATCTTTTTATTGGTTGCAATGGAGGCTTAGCTGACTTTATTCCCATCAGATACATTAGTGAATGCTCCAGATGTGCAGAAAGCAGACACTCCCCAGATGTAAAAAAAAAATCTTCTGGTTTTTTTGGCTGATTTACAGTTGTTATTTGTGTTTGGGCCATATTTATTTTAGGCAGGAAGGGGCTTCATTATTCTGAAGAGAACTTTATGCAAAGGTTTTTGTTTTCTCTTGCTCTGTAGAGAAACTAAACTTGAAAAGCAGCATCAATAGGTGGGTGATTATAGGAGGAACAGGGTTTGAAACCAACTGTGTGGGATTTAATTTCATGAGACTCCAGGCAGGGCTAATTATAAACTGCTGCTTGGCAGTGGGAGTAAATATCCCATTTGCACTGCCTGATGCAGAGGGATCTTGCCTGCAAACCTCTGCCTTGGCTGTGAGGAGTAGTACAGTTTTAAGTACGTTCCTCCACCTGCAGCAAGTGGTTTTCATGTTCCCGAGTTCTCCATTTAAAACTTCAGAAAGGCAGTTCCTACAGCAAGGTATGGAGAACCAAGTCACCTTTCTCCTAGCCTTTTTGTCATTAAATTGCTCCTCTTGGACATGTTGGAAAATAACTGTCAGAATGTGAGCTGAGCAGTAGAAGTCTTTTATTGTAGGTAACTAATGCTGGTGGGGCAAAACCTGGATTGAAATCAGGTGCTGGTAAGCTTAAAAAGCAATTGTAAGGGATGTGATGGCTTTGCTGTGTTATTTAAAGTGTTTAATGAACAAGTTTCAGTGTGTTTGCCTTCCTGTATTTTCTGTAGCTTCTGTTACGGTTAGGTGTTGAATGTTTCTGCCTCTTCCGTTTTCAGTTCCCCAAGGGAAACATGGGAGTATAAAATCCAGTTTCCCTGCTGGAAGTTGGAGAAGCTGCTTTTTGTCTGTTTGCCCGAGAGTTTATGCCCTTGTGTCTACCAGCATCCTCATCCCCCAAGAGGGCTGCCAAACCTCATGTAAACTCTACAGAGATGTGAGGCCTCCTTGAGCTCAAAATTTTGCAGATTTCATGAAAATGAACGGCTGGGCAGCAGGACAGACCCACACTGGGCAATCACCAACTGTATGAAATTTAACCAAGAGCAAGTGCTGGATTCTGCACCTGGGATGGGATAACTCTGGCTATACATACAAATTGGGGGATGAGAGGCTGGAGAGCAGCGTTTGGGTTGGTGGTAACTTGGACATGAGTCAACAGTGTGCCCTGGCAGCCAAAAGAACCAACTGTGACCTGGGGTACATCAAGCATAGCACAGCCAGCCGATCGAGGGAGGTGATTGTCCCACCCTACACTGCACTGGTGCAGCCCCACCTCGAGTAGTGTCTGCAGTTTTGGGCATCTCAAGATAAGGACATCAAATGTCTGGACTCGATGACCTTAAGGGTCTTTTCCAATCTAAATGATTCTATGAAACTGAGGAGAGTGACCAAGATGGTGAAAGGCCTCGAGGGCCAGACTTATGAGGAGCGTCTGAGGTCACTTCATTTGTTCAGCTTGAAGAAGAGAAGACTGAGGGGTGCCCTCATTGCAGTCTACAGCTTCCTCAAGGGGGCAGTGGAGAGGGCGGTGCTGATCTCGCTCTGGTGACCAGTGATAGGACATGAGGAAATGGAATGAAGCTGCATTAGGGGAAGTTCAGGTTGGACATTACAGAAAGGTTCTTCACTGAGAGAGTGGATGGTCACTAAAACGGGCTCCCCAGGGAAGTGGTTATGGCACCGAGCCTGTCAGAGTTCAAGGAACATCAGGGCAACGCTTTTAGTCACATGGTTTAGTTTTAGGTAGTCCTGCGAAGAGCAGGGAGTTGAACTCAGTGATCCTCATGGGTCCTTCCAACTCAAGACATTCTATGATTCTACAATTGTAAGTTAGTCAGCCGCTGACAGAGTGGGAGGTGATGTTCAGTGGTGGGACAGGGACAAGCTGACCTCTGTCACGTGGTCCATGGGCCTAGCACTGGAAGACCAGCTGCAGCATGCAGGCTCTATGGCACCCTGTGGTGTGCAGGGCGCTGGGGAGGGAGGGCGGAGGGAAGGAGGAGAACACCAGTGTTTTTAGAAAAACAAAATTCAAGCAGTCTGTTGCTCAAGTCAGAAAGTTATGTTTGTGGTGATTCATCCCAAGTCGTATTTCTTGGTGTGTTGCCGCACACGTGACTAATGGAGGAACTTTCCAAAGCTCATGTTGGCTTCTGCAGTGGAATGTAAATATGACTAATCTAATACCATAGCAGTAGGTATCTGAGGGTGGTGATTGGCCTTCGCAGAGGACTCCTATTTGCGTAGTTAACTTGGCTCTCTTGAATACCCTCTAGCTCATCAGCTTTTCAAAAGCTTATGTTTGCTCTTTTGTCTGCTCTTTTTCCCCCATTTGACACAAACTATGCAGGTTATTGGGGACATCGTCCTGAAGATCTGTCTCTTGAGATCCTGGTATTTGAGCTATGGACATGGAAGAAAAATAGCGTAGACATTTCTGAAACTTTCTTGAATCTGCTTGTGCCCACAGGAGCTAGAAATACCTGCTATATTGTGCTTTATTCACAATATAGTATCTGCTTTATTTTCCTAGACTAAGAAAATGCTCATAAGCTCAGTTACTCTGGGTGTTATTTAAACCTGTAGGGAGTGCAGCACATTCGTGCTGACTTTTTCTTCTTGGATCCTGCTACTACATTTATTTTAGTTCTGTAGCTTTATCTCTGTTGTCTGATTGTTTCTTCCCTGGAACCAGTGGAATCCCTGGTTCTGAGCCTCTCCTTTCAGGCTAAGTAATTGAACTTCTAGTTTAGTTGGACCCACCCATTCTAAAAGCTGAGCAAGTAAAGTTGTAAAAGCAAGTGTTTTAAAAACCTAAGAAGGTTTGTCATGAACAGTGGAGAAACAGCCAGACTGCGGGGAAAGGAGACTGCTGGCACTTCAGGGTACATCTTATTGTAATGAGTTTCATAAGCTAGATTTTGACATTACTGAGATATGTTTGAAGAGCCTGACATCTTGCTGCATGCATGGAAAACAGAATTGTTGTTGCAGGATATTGAATAATTCCAGTCAATATAGAATGATTTTTTCCTTTTGTTAACTCTCAAGTTTGTTTATTGCTCTCTCAAAGCATGTCTTACATGAGATTGGCAGGCAACGTCCTCATCTGAAATTATTTCTTCGTGAAGATACTGTGTGAAAATCCCTTAAAATAGCAATGTCAGTGAACGCACACTCTTTTATACTGAAAAGCAGTAAAGCAGAGAAACCAGTGCAGCTGGAACCATTCAGAGGTTTGGGACTTAAATTTTTCATGGTGGCAGCAGGAGACTCTTTAGATGATAACCTCTTTCCTGCCCCAGGTAAAACTTCAGCTGTACCAAAGCATAATGTTGAGTATATGTGCTTGGTTTTCCCTCTGCCGATCCTTCAAAAAAAAAAGAAAAAAAAAGTGATCTTGATATACACCCGCCAATGTAACATTCATTGACTTAGTGATATATCTTTAACCTCAAGACAGATGGTGTTGAACAGATGGTAGTGGTCCATCCTCTGGTTGCTACTCTGGTGGTGTTTTGAGGAGCATGCATCTTCAACAAATCCTTCTGCCTGCCTTCTTAGAGGTAGACTAGCAAATATCTGAGCAGGTCCTGTCTTAGGCATTCCTCCTTGAAGGGCTGGAGCCCGAGAGATGTACTACTTGACAAAACAAACAAACCAGAATTCAAATTTGAGGAACAACTATGCAAATACCTGTTTAAATGTCTCTTGAGTGTTTTGACCTTTCTTGCCGGTTAATATGGAGGTTTCTTGGTGCAGTCTAAACAAAGGGGTAACTTCAGAGGTAACTGAGATTTGGGTCTTGGCAGCTGCTCATTTTACTGAAGTTTTTAAGATTGTATTGCAAGATGATGTAGGCTTCAGAGTAAAAACCTGCAAATATTTTGCATTCTGTGAAAAAGTTTTTCATGAGCTAGGTATCTACAAGAGCTTATGGTCTCCACCTGGAGTGAAGAACACCAAGTAAAATATCTTCTTGCTTTCTGTTCAAGATCTATACCTAATGACTTTATCCAGGAGGTTCTAAATGAGCTTTGCTCATGCGTCACAATAAAGCCATGAATCGCGTCTGTTTCCATGAAGGGGCACTGACCAGGCAGTGCTGCCTCCTTACTTGGCTGTGAGCAAGGTGGTACTCAGTTCAAATGTTACAGTACAAGAATTGCTGCTTAGACTTCAGATTTCAGTTTCTGCTGTAGCACTTCAGTTGGCCCGACTGAAGACTGGCTTGAAGGGTCTTTTCAGGAAACTGCAAGCTTGCCTTTGATTTTTTTTTTTTTTTATTCCAGTTGTCATTCCTTGCTCCCATATTAAAAAATAAAAATGTATTTTAGTCTCATTTCTTCTCTGGAAAAAAAAAAAAAGGCATTATTAGTGCAGTTATCTGAGAAGGAAAAGACATTTCAATTTGGACCTCAGTTGAGATGAAATATGTCACCAAACATATGAGCATCCATCATTCCTGGTACTAGATTTGTGAGTTGTCCTTGTCTAAACTTGGCCTGTCATGTAAGCAGAAGGAGTATTCTGCTTGCGGTTTGATTTTGGACGTTTGTTTTTTATTTCTCTCTTCAGATTTTGCAGTAGCAAGTTCTGATTCCTCTTCTGTAGTTACATTCTCAGAGGAAATGCCAGACACATTGGTGCTTAACATGTCTGTCTTCTGAATTAAGGTAGCTCTGGCTGGAATTAAGTTCTACTCTGGCTGGCTTGATACTCTGTAAGTAGAAAAAGTCTTCCGGCTTCTTTAGGGCTGGAGTGGTATATTTGGATGTATTTTTCTTGAATAGCTGGTATCTACTTTCATGCCTTTTTCTTTTTCCATGCTTTAGTGAAAGTAGGAACGATGAACTATCAGAAATATCCCAAGCAGTTGTTATAGCTGTCCATTTATCTTACAACCCTCTGCTGCTGAGATCACACTCATGCTGTGAAGCCAGTTTGTATCATGAATATAATGAGTTAGTGTGTTTGCAGTTGGCTGGGTAAGCAGCAGTAGCTCTAGCAACTGATCTAATACAACAAGAGAATGTTCTGTTCCTAAGGGCTGAAAATAAAACTTAATCTACCTGAGTGGAGAGCCCATAGTGGTGACAGCTGCATTTAGCTCTCTTCTAGGAAGTTGAAAGACTGCTCAAGATCATCTGTGCTAATAACTTAACCACCTTCATACTGTTAGCCTTTGTTAGGGGAAAAGATAAGTCATACCAACCCATGAAAATTAATTTTTAATGACAAGATATTAAATCCATTACCCGATCATATAGCTTTCATACTGGCGTTTGTGCTCCAAGGCTATTCTTTGCACTTGAATCTTGTAAATTTTTGTGAATTGAAGCTGTGACCCTGCTCATTTTGTGGAAAAGACCCTGCTCATTCAGTGGAAATAAAGCTGGGAAAGAATATGCTGTGGATGGCACTAAGAAAGCATGCAATAGCAGTGGCAAGAATGAAGGATTAATTGCATTATATTGACTGTAGGAATATATGTTCTGGCCCTCCGGATCCTTTCTACAGTGACAATTTTTAGTGCTGTTCCTTTCTTTTTTTCCCAAGAGATGTGTGGATGAGGGTCTGGAGAAATAGAGAAGAATGTCTTCAGCCCTGACTCAAAATTTTCTTGCAGTCTGATGCAGGAAGCAGAAAACATACCTCAAGATAGATTAAAGACATGTTTATGACTGTAGTAAGTGTTGGTTTTGAGTAAGAAAAAGCAGTGTTCTTACTGTTGCTTTCATCTTCTACAGGCAATTTTGAAGACTTCAACTTAGAAGATGCATTGGGTAATTATTACACTCTTGCAAATTTTGGGAGGTAGGCAGGAAAATAGTGGCTGCTCTTTTGACTTTTGTTTGTTTCTGAGTATCACTGCATGACCAAGCATGACACCTTCCCCATGTATAGTTTGTTACACCTTCCCCATGTATGGTTTGTTTGAACCTCAGTGGAACAATTCAGCTATGGGTATGTCAAAATGTTGACTACGTAGAACGAAAATTTGTCTTTGGGAACGCTCAGGGATTCCTCTTAAGGGGAAAATGTCTTTCTGTGTAGACTTGATCTTGTGCTTTTCATTGTATAGACATAGGCTTACATTTGTCCTTCATGTGTCTTCTGAACAGTGTATTAAATAGTATTTAAACTTCTTTTTTAACCATCCCTGACAGGAGCTACACAGAAGCCTGTTACACCTCCAAAGCCATCCCCGACAGGTTTGGGTGAGATCTAATTAGCTTGTAATGCCTTTTACTGTGAAGTCAAGTGTAGTTGTGCATATTAATTTGAGAGCCTGAATTTTTCACTTAGTGGCACACAGGGTTGTGATATTTCTGTAAAAGAAAGCGGTTCCCTAATAGCAAAAGGGTTTCTGCATTTTGGAGTCTTCTGCTTTCTCAAATTTACTTCGTGATTTCATGAGCTTAAAGACCCTGTGAGAGTCACTTCTGTTGGCTTTCAATCTGCATGTTTTGAGCTTGCTCATCTTGATCTGGTCCTTGGCATGTACCATGATCACCAAAAGCAGCATGTGGTTTCTGAGATAATGCCTGGTAACTCTGTGGTGGTTTTCCATGGGCCACATGTTGAATGAGCGTGCCATTATATTCTTGGTGAAAACATTGTGAGGTGCATTTTGTGTAAAAAATATTCTAAAACTAGTTCAGTTTTTGCATTACATTTAAAGCTTCCTTTTGTTCTTTGTAGATGATTTCGACTTGGAACATGCTCTTCACCCTCGTAAGTATCATGTTTTCGTGGATACTGCTCAGTGGTACTTGGTGCAATGTCTGTCAGTCCTTTATTACCTAAATGTAATAAGGGCACTGAGTTGATGAAGGTAACAGACTGCAGATAAAAATAATTGCAGTCTAATTATGTTTATTTACCTTCGTATTTAAGGGTCTGGATCACAAAACCTGTATGTATTTCACTCATTTCTTAGCCAGTCCTACTTGTTTCATTGCTGTGTCTTCACTAGATGGCAGTAATTCTATAAACTATTACTTACGGAAGTAGTTTTTAAATCTGAAGTAATTTCTTCCTTTCCAGGAAGTAATTTTAGTAGCACAAGGAAATATTAACCTGTTTGAGATGAGGGAAGGCATTCCTTCTAATGTGTTTCAGCTCTGCTGGGTGGGCAGCAGTAGAAATGGCAGTATTGGTTTTGCTCAGCCAGTTAAAGGTTCATCCAGTTAGGCAGATAACGCACAGTAGCTTTTTGAGTATCATCGCTAGACCTGTTGCAGTATAGACGGCTTTCGTAACACAGGACATACATTTGTAGGACAGTAGCACTGTTTGCTGCTCTGTTTGATTTAGCCCTTTGAAGTTTTGTCTTTCTTAAAGCAGTCTGTTACCAACTGCTGACATTTTTGAAATCAGAGTTGGCTAATTGATAAACTGTTGGCTGAATGGATCGGATGGTTCAAGTAAGTGAAGAGAGAGCATCCTTTATAGGATGGCAAGCCTAAGTTGGGGTCTTAGAATTGTGCTCTGGAGGCGTCTGCCTCTACTTTGAATATACAGAGAGCCTAAGGAGACCTGATCTGGCTTGTGCTAGAGCTGGGAGGAGGCAAGGAGAAGTAGCATTCAGAAGAAATGGGCTGCTGAGTTGGTTCAGCTGTTGGTGAAAACACAGTTTTAGAAAACCGCTGCTGGTGTGTTAATTTGATGCAGGCAACAAAGACCATTACCAAACACTACAGAGATAATTACTAAGATCTCTTATTCTCCTATTTTGTGGCAAGCTAAATGAAGTGTCATTGTGGGGACCATATTTCTAGTTCTATTGTGTATATCTTTTTTTTTTTTTTTTTTTTTTTTTTAAGTGAGGTACCAACCTTTAATTTGGTTAAAATCTGGTAGTTTTAAAAGAGGAAAAGCCAAGTAATCTGTACCTAGTAGAAAAAAAATGAAAGAAGTTCAGCATTTGAAATCAGATGTGCAAACTAAAATGCTGCATAACACTTAGTGAGTTCTTCTGTATGCATTCAGTTAAAGCAAGGGTCTGACATACAGGCTAATGTAGCAGAAACACTGTTAATTGCATTAAAGTACAATGTTTAACCTAAAATAAACAAACAAATACAGCATTAGCTAATGATAGGAATGATAGGAAAATGAGGAAGATAGTGAAGATAGTGTTTCAAGGTCACTATATGCTCTGCTTTTGGTCTCTTCACGCTAGTAACTTTGGTCACTTTATTCTTACTTGTCTACAGATGACACCAAGCCAAGTCCACCTGCAAATCCCAGAGACACTGGTAAGACTGACCTAACAGGAATTTCTTAACAGTAGAAAGTATTTATTAATCTTTCCTAGTCCCTTTCAAAGTTACTGTGTTGTAGTCTGCTTTTGATCTCTTAACCTTTTTCTTTTTTTTTCCTAAATCTCTCTTGTGTGTGTAGATAACCCCAAGCAAGGTCCACCTGCACGTCCTAAAGACACTGGTAAGGCTTCTAGCACAAACTCCTGAATCATGACATGGTTTTACTATCTCAGTTAAAGTTAAAATAATTATACCTTGTTAATTGGCTGCTATGTTTGTCAGATGTTGTACTGGATAAATAGGATTGAGGAAAAATTGTCTTGCAAATAAACTTTGCAGCAGTCTTGAAATTCCATATCAAACCTGCTGAGTCACTTTTCTTTCACTTAAAAGCGGGATACTGTGGGGAAGAGGAAGGATGGGACAGTGTGTGTGCTTGGGGCAATGCTCTTCTTGGCTGCCTATGGTGGAGCACCTGTGTATTGGATTGAATCCTTTCATCTTAACAAACTGAATTCCTGCTAGTCATGTTAAAAAGTCAGTAGGAACTATGTGTGAACTGTTTTCTTAAAGCATCTACATTAAGGGTAAAGCTCAAAGTTAAAGGGTTTTTTTTTTTTTAGTTTCTCTTTTAAAGGCCCCATTTAAGAAATACAGTTCTTTCGTGTTTGAAAGGTAGGCTTGAAATACTTGTCCTTCCCTGCCTGTTGTGCTCTAGGGGTCTTCTCTGTCTTTGCCTAACTCAGAACAAAACAGATTCAGATCGATGCAGATGTGATGACACCATTATCCAGGAATATGGTGGTAAAGAGTCCTTACCTGAATGCAAGCCCTGGTTCTTCTTCCTTCTCCTGCCTGGTTTGCAGCAGATCCTTGAATTCAGATCTTCCATGACTCAGTACAGTGCTTTTGCCACCCAACTAAAACATCTTCTGATGCAATGCTTCTGGTTTTGCTGCTTGAAACAGATTTGCTTTGCATAAACTAAAAATTAAATTGGCAGCAGGAACTCAGGCCGCATGAGGTATGGTCCAGTGGAAATGGAGAGGGAGTGGTTCAATGTCCTATAATAAATAAGAGCAAGGAATTACATTTGGATCTTCCCGTTGTCAGATGAATACTGCAGCCACTGGACTATGGCATGTAGAATTCTTTTTGGTTTTTTTTCTTCCCACTAGCTACTGTGTTGTACAGGTTCAAAAGATTGGTTGTGACTTAGAAACCCAACTCTGAAGAAACACAGCTGCAGATGGCTGTGAAAAGAAACGGTCCTTTCCTGTCCATGTCCTCTGCTTTAACAGGGTAGTGAGACTTGGGCTGTTCCACCTTTGCAGCTCACAGGGCTTCTTGCTTGCTTAGCCCGTGAGTTGTGCAGTACTATCTGCTCTTGGAAACTGACTTCTCTCAGTTGTTGAGGAATTCCAGAAGCAGCAGTGCTGCTTTCAAACTGTATAGTACCAAGCTGAAGGGCCTTGAGATTGGGCGGGCTTTTGAAACAGGAATGTGTTGTGGCTATGATGCTTAGTCTAAACTGACCACAAACTCAGCTGAATGATCTACAGAAAACTTTCATGTCATTATGTGCCTCAAGGGGTCTTTTCACTCAACTTAAAACATGTAAGATAATTTTTTTTTTTTATAGGCAACATTGATGATTCAGATTTAGAGGATGGCAGTCTACCGAAAGGAAGAGGCGGTGGTAGTGGCAGCAATGGTAAGACAGTAGGTTGTGCTTTGTATTGATCTTGTGGTTACCTGAGCTTTCAATAAAAGCTTGCTCACAGGCTGCTTAACATAGTCTAACTTGTAACACTTCTGGTTCTGGTACCTGAAACTTAAGAGCGTACCTTCCAGTTCAAAAGCAATGTGTCCTGCCTCTGCCAAAAAACCCCAGATAGTTAAGAGGTAAAACTGATCTAGGAACCTTCAATGATTTTCACTGTTACGCTAAGAAAGATCGATTTTAAAACTGAGGTGTGAATGTGGTACTTATTTCAAAATTCACCACAAATACAGTTCTTAAAGGCATCCAGGTGTTATTTTCAGATCTTCTGTGACATACTCTCAGTTCCTTTTAGTTCTTGTGGTTAGGAAGCCACTTCTAAGTGATGTAGGTTATATCCAGTCTGAGCAGTATAAAACCCAAACTTGTTTTGAGTAATCTGCCATGTCTAATTGTTACGGAGCAGTTCAGTACAGAGGTGGTCATTGGAACCAAGCTGCAGTAATGGTCATCGTTAGGATGGGGTTAGTCATCCCTGTGTGCATTACTGTAACTTTACTATTTCCAGGTCAGAGTTAGGTTAAGTATCTTGATGTGATGTTGGGACGTGCTGCTGGTTACTAACTTTTTCAGAGAGTTGTCCCAGGCAGAGGTTAGTCATGCTAATTTTTTGGGAAGCTTTCACCTTCCAAGGTTCCTTTGGGGCAGTAACTTGAAAATTGGCAGGGGCAAGAAAAATCTGTTGAGACTTGTGCGGTGTTTTCATCTGCACAGGTTTCTGTTCAGTGGTGCAAGTTGCATAGTGCCAAATCAGGATAGTATTTACAGAACTTCTCTCTCGTTTGCTTAGAGAATTGCAAAAAAGTTTAGTAAATGAGGCTGAGATTTTAGGAAAAGACAGTTGGTTCCATGGAAATACAGTTGAATACTACCCTGAAATTATATATGCTGTTCCTCGCCACTGAGTATTCTGTGGTGGTGGGCAAGTTAAGCCAGATTTCACAGGCGTGCTGCCCTCATTTTGTAGTAATGCTGAGCACCCAAGGCTGAAGTTGGCATCATCATGAGCTGTGCTTTGAAAATAGAAAGTTTGAGTGCCAGAGAGCTTAGCATATAATAGATGGCTTGTAATTTTGCATGATTAATTGACAAAAAGGTTGTCACTTATGATATGACTGTTCTTTAGACATGTAAAATCTAAACCTTCTGTTCATTTTTACAGAACGAAAGGACCCAAGTCCAAACAATAGTGAAGAAGGTGAGAGTAAATGCATAAATTTATGTCTGCATATCTGAAGCTTGTTTTCTGGGTTTTTCTGTATTGCTAATATTCTGCTAGAATGGTCACTGCTGTTAGTGAGTTTCAGCTTAAAAACTTCCGTGGAATCTAGAATTCTTACTTTCAAGCTCGGCTTTCATAATTCTTTAAAATCTCTATGTTGCAAATGATTCAGAAGTGTTAAGGTCTCAGAGGTGCTGGTGCAGTGATTGCATGCATATAACTTAGATTTGGCTATGAAAGGGTACCTTTTTTAATTAGTAGAACTTAGAACAGGCGTACTTAAGTTGTTTAACAATAGGCATTGCTAAGAAATCAATGGTTCTAAAATTAGACGATTCACTTTTCATTATTCACAAAGACAGGAGGAGTCAATTACTACAGTTCTGTGTAATAATTTCAGTTTACTGTTTTCTGGAAGCGTTCACAGTGTTTACTTTGAGACAATATAAGTTTATCATTGCTTTCAATTCTGAAAAATATCTACAAACCTTTTTTTTCAGCTTCTCAGGGAGCAATAGCTGGAATTGTAAGTGCTGTGGTTGCTACTGTGATTGGAGCAGTATCTAGTTTCATTGCTTACCAGAAGAAGAAACTCTGTTTCAAACAAAGCGGTAAGAATTCTAAATTAGTTTTGTTTCCTATTGTCTAAAGAGATGCATTTTTGTATTTATATGGAGGCTGGAAATTGATCTTATGCATTAGGTAGTTTTAATAGCACAGTGAATTTCTGTTCACAGGGAATAACCTCTCTTACTAGTCATCTAAGACTGGGTGTCTAAAGAATGCCTCACCCAAAATTTAGACTTTCAGAAGCAGACAAACTTAAGGCTTTGCATTTCTTAAAATTAAAGCACTTCCTGCTAAAAAATAAGCAGGACCCTGCAAGAAAAAATTTCTTTACGTAAAATGGAGCGGAGATTGGGGATTAGAGGCTATTTTCATGGTGGATGGAAAATACCTTGTCATTTCTAATTTTGTAAATCTTGCCTTTATGTCTTCACAAGATGCTTGCCTACATATTAGGTTTCTGACAACTACCTGGATGTTCATCGCCAAGTGATTCTTTCTTCTGCAGTCGTCTATTGCTTGCTATCTACTTCTTTCCACCTAAATAAAATACAACTTGGGTCAGAGAACTTGGGGAGTACTGTGGGTGATAGGTGGGGCAGAAGCTTTGTTTTTGTCCTTTCTAGTCTTTCTGATTGGTTGGTGAAAGAAGTGATAGAGCAGCAATCCAGCCAGGCACTGCTGTTTTGTAATTTGGGAGGTTTGAAAACTGAGTAACATCTACCATGCACATTGAAGTTAACATGCAGGCAACACAAGGGAAACTGAACTACTTTCAGTTGCCTGTTTTTTTCAGTGCTGTTTCTTCTTTCAAAGTATCTTTATTAATCAACAGCTTTGAAAATAAGAGAATTTGAATGCTAAATATCTTTGTTTCCCAGCAGATGAAGAGAATGTAAATATGGAAAGCCATCGGGGAGCACAGTCTGAGCCACCTGGTAAGAGAAGAATCTAGATGGAAGATCAACTTTTTGGTGGGGATCCTATTAAATGCACTTTATTGACATCTAACATAGCGGAGGAAATTACTTGCACTGTTTTGTTTTGTTTCAAAAAAAATGTTTGTAACTACCATGACAACTAATTTAGAACTGAATCAAGATTCCAGTTTATTGCCTTGAGGAGTCCTTGAAATACAGAAGCTTAGAGAAAGTTAAGAATTGATTTTTCTCTGCAAAAGTATTATGAAAACACAAGCCTGCTCCTTTAGTGTGATACATAACTGCAATTGCTGACAGGTCTTTTATTAGTGTATGCTGTGTCTGATTGGAATCTGATAACTTTTTTGATTGCAAGCCCATATATAACTTTGCAAGAATGTGTATTAAAAATATTAATAGTGTTTGGACAGAGATGAAACTACATTGGAGGCAAGGAGGACCTAATTTACTAGCATGTTGTCATAACTAAAAAATTCTTTGTTTTGAACAGAGGATGATTCTTGTATGAAAGAATCATCAAATAACAAATCTTTCTACAATGGTGGCAGCTGCAGAAGGATCTCTTCTAAAGCAACAAAACCCCTAACAACCTCACCATTCCAGGTTTGGTCGTCTAGGGTACTTGGCTGATGGAACAGGTGATTATTTCCAGGAAAGCCATAGGTAGATCTGGAGAAAACAGTATAGGTCAAAACTTGGCCTTTTAGTCCTTGTGACTGGTCAACAAAGGAAGAAGCAGTACATCATGCTGAAGTATGTCGAGTGTCTTTGAAACACTGAATATTAAAATCTCAAAGCAGTATAAATTTGCAATATATTCTTCTGTGATCTAAATCTTAAACCCACAGAACCAGTTCTTTTTTTTTTTTATAATTGAACAACAACAAAATTTCTACCTTATTTCTTTCAGGTATTTCATCAGTATGCTAAAAACGTCCATCTGGCTCATGACCCTCCTTATAAGCATTTTTCTTTTAAGCTGTTAAATATAGAAAACTCAGGGAGAAAGCATTCTCTTGTGACTGGCTGTTGAAGTCAGGACTGGAGATAGGCAGGTGTCCTCAATTCAGCTATGCATTAGTGAAGCAAGCCAGTATTGTTCGAAGACCTCTGCCAAAGGTAGTTCACATATGGGTTGGAGTCAGAATATGCTAAAATTTTGGCCATGATTCACCAGAACTCAGGCAGGTGTGAAATGCATCAGATGATGCATACTTTATTTTAGCTGATAAAGTAAAACCTGGGTTGTTGTTATAGATGATTACTTCTGCCTACATATTGATGTTACGTTAAATCCCAAATTTCATTCCTCTGTTATATTTTGCAGGCAAGTATGAGCATGTTTTGAGCCAAGAGACTGGGCAACCATGGTCAGCATGGTGCTACTCCTGATCTAAGTTCCATGAGTCAGCAGACCTTAGCTCTGCTTTTGCTAATACAGTGTCGATGTACCTGCATGGCTTTAGTTAGAAGCAGTCTTGCGTTAAGCCAGGTCAGATGGCATGACAGAACAAGTTTGCATTTTTAAAATTTTATGTAGACTTATCTTTGACTTCCTGAAAATGTAGATAACCTAGGCTAGCACTTTCTTCCAGTAACCCACTTTTTCCATCAGCTAAGCAGAACTGTACTCCACTTCAATTTTGCATCTGCAGAACTGCAAGTCTGAAGCTGCATGTTGGGTTATACTGCAAGTGTGGACAGCTACACGGACCTAGTTATTTGAGTGAGAAATCTGCGATGTGATATCCTTTGGTATGCAGGCTACTGGCTATATAGAATCAAGCCTCTGCTTACCTGACTTTATCCCACAGTTTCAAATGCCTACTGGGAAACAACACATGCAGTTACATAGTAATACATAACCTAAAATGTATACTAACTTAGTGTACTAATCTTGAGTTGTTTTTCACTTTTTAGTTCAGCGCACACTTCTGGAGAACTAAATTAAAGAAAACGTGATGAAGAACAGACCATTGAAACTGGATAGAGAGCCTGCATTCTGCCTGAAAAAAAAAAAGGAACCAAAAAAAGCATAATAAAACAGCAGAGTCTGAAGTTGCATGACAAAACAGTTCTCGTTTGAAACACCTCTGGGAGTGTGACTTAGACCTGAGTACTTCTGTATGGTTAGCCCTGTGAAGCATTGTTGCACACCAATATATGGCCTTAATGACAGGAGCGTAGAAGTATGTTGTGCCTTCACATTCTTTCCTGTACTCCTGTGACAAATGGGTGTGTCTCAGGTGCATTCAGTATGTTTAACTTTTCCTTACCTCTCCAAAAACAATAAGCGATTAAAAGTTTTGTTACACCATTGCTTTCAGGTGGTGCAAACATTTTTTTTAACATCCCGTACGCAGTGAGTGTTCCAACCAAACAACTTGGTATATGGTGTGGGCACCTGAAAGCAAATGGGTCGCTGTGTGTGGACAATGGATCTGGGTGTGGGGCTGCTGATACAATCTGTGTAGCTGCCTGGGTCAGCCACCAGGGAAGAGATACTTGTTCCTGAGCATACAAGAGACAAAAATTCAAAGTTTTGTTTTTGCATTTTTTTCATTGCATCTGTCTGGTACAGATTCAGAATACTCCAAGTAGTGCGCACACAGACCCTTCATTCTTTCTGGCTTTTCCTGCTTAGCAAGTACTGAGCTGGTCAGATGTGGAAAAGCCTGATTTGTAAATGAGAACCATGATTGGATTTTGCACATCTGGTGAGACTGATGTTTGGCGGTTTGTCTGAACAGTTGTGGATGAAGTATTGGGGATTGGGGGTTAACATCTTCAGACTTCGATAACCAAAAAGCTTAACTGAAAATAATGTCATATTTTGAATTCGAAAGGTTTATCATATGCGCTTAAAAGATGGAAGCAGTACTACATTTCAAAAGTACATAATAGCGAGACTGACCAGAACAACCCAGCCTCACTCCACAAACATCCGTTGAACGGTATAAATAGCGTACGTGTGAAGAATGCTTTTGGACTTGTGAAGGATTGCCATCGGGACGAGGATCTATGATTGCATTCTCAGCTGAAAGCACTTGTGAGCTTTGCTGTGGCTCTCAAAAGCCACAGGAAGGTTTCAAGGATCTGTGGAAACATGCAAAACTGTGCAACTCCTAACAGTTAAAGGACTAAGTCTGGAATAATAACTGGTTCTGTTTGGAAGGAATAGTCTGACCAGTTCTGTTGGCTTTCATTCTAATTGTTTCCAATTTTCATGCAGTTTTACAATATGTGTCTTACTAATGTGCTTCAGCCACCTGGCGAAGTTCTGCAGAGAAATGACATTTCATGTCATCTTAGAAGTCATTATGAATTTGGATATTAAACATGTAAATATATCTATGCATTCAAATATGAATGTATGCCAAGGATAATTCATTTATGAATTTCTTGTACATGTTTCTTAGCTTGCAACAAAGCTTTACATAGCTTTTAGTATTTTGTTACAGAATTAGTTTGTAAACCTCTTTTTGCACTTAAAAGATGGAAGCAGTACTACATTTCAAAAGTACATAATAGCGAGACTGACCAGAACAACCCAGCCTCACTCCACAAACATCCGTTGAACGGTATAAATAGCGTACGTGTGAAGAATGCTTTTGGACTTGTGAAGGATTGCCATCGGGACGAGGATCTATGATTGCATTCTCAGCTGAAAGCACTTGTGAGCTTTGCTGTGGCTCTCAAAAGCCACAGGAAGGTTTCAAGGATCTGTGGAAACATGCAAAACTGTGCAACTCCTAACAGTTAAAGGACTAAGTCTGGAATAATAACTGGTTCTGTTTGGAAGGAATAGTCTGACCAGTTCTGTTGGCTTTCATTCTAATTGTTTCCAATTTTCATGCAGTTTTACAATATGTGTCTTACTAATGTGCTTCAGCCACCTGGCGAAGTTCTGCAGAGAAATGACATTTCATGTCATCTTAGAAGTCATTATGAATTTGGATATTAAACATGTAAATATATCTATGCATTCAAATATGAATGTATGCCAAGGATAATTCATTTATGAATTTCTTGTACATGTTTCTTAGCTTGCAACAAAGCTTTACATAGCTTTTAGTATTTTGTTACAGAATTAGTTTGTAAACCTCTTTTTGCCCCACTTCTGCTTTTAGTATAAAAGTGCTAAAACCTTTAAGTGTGTTTGAGGGTGGAAAACTGATTTTTATATAAACATTTGATCTCTGTAAATACAAAGAAATGATACATACTGCTTACCTGCATGAATAAACAGGTATCTCATATCAATGCCAA